CTGCCATGCTGAACTCACCCTCAGAATTGATGAGCCACACCTCTTGTCTCCCCTGCTCCCTTTTTCTGTCATATCCACTATTCTTCCATCACCCTCCTCCATTCTCTATTTCTTGATTTCATCACTCTCTGTCTCTCTGTTTCTCATCTCTCCAGCTTCTACATGTCTCTGTCTCTCTCTGGCCTATCTCACCCTCCACCTTTATCCTTCCTCAGCCTCTCACTTAATTTCTTTTTTTTTTCGCAGTTTCTTCCTCATGCCTTTTGACTACCCCACCCACTCTGTGTGTCAAAATCAGGCAGGAGAGCCATGGAAGTGCCATACTAATAAGGTTAGAGGGAGCATCTCTGTTTCTTAGGGTGACACCTTTATAAATGACAGGAGCACGAGGCCCTGCCGGTGCTCAATCACCTCTGCAGGGGCTCAACCATAGGGAGCTCAGCATGCGTGGTGTGTGAGCGAGTGTGTGCGTGCATGAGTGCATGTTTGTGTGTTATTGCCTCTGTGGTCTTGCAGCAGCCAGGTTTACGGTAGAGCTAGTTGGAGTGGACAACAGTATTATGGAGGAAACAGATCTGGAGGCATAGTGAAGACGAAGGAGAGAAATGACAGCCTGGAGCTCATCTGACCAGTCCTGCCTTGTTATGACTCCCTGATGTGTGCACCAGGGGCACACAAAACAGACACTTCCTCCCTTTATTGCCTTACACCACCTCTATCTCTGTTCTGTAGTCTGTCGCCTCACAGGCTCGCTTTATGGCCTCCACTGAGGGGCGGGATGTTATCTGCTTGTATAGGTCGACGTTATAGGGCTCCTTTTTTCTGTCTTTTTTCACTGTCTGTGTTTGTGTTTATGCCAGTGTTTTAGAATGGGGAAGAATTTTTGATTACATGGAGGGATGCTGTGCTGCTTCTCACCACTTCATGTAACAACACAACCACCTTTGTGGCTACTCACATCAACAAATGCAGGCAGAATAGCGTAAAACTGAAAAACCACACAATGATTCAAATGTGTTTAGGAGACGTGCAGAGCTCAAAATGATGCGACGTGCTGGCAAACAGTACAACAGAATCAGTGGCAGTCGTCGTCGTCAGCGCAGCAAGTCTAAATTGAGTTAACACAAATGCATGCTCATCCATACAAGACAGAACTTAGGGATGTTGTTGCTCACAACATGGGCGCTGTGTGCTTCTGAACTGCATGCCCTGTCCATGAGTTCATGTGGCTTCTCAGAAGGCTGCAAAGCAGAGGAAACAAACTAGTTTTTGTTAGACAAACTAGGTTAGTGGCTATTACATTGGGATTCAGTGATAGCGGTTGTTTTCTCAGCATGCAGGAGCTTTAGACCTGAACGTCATGAATGGCAGAACAGGAGCAGGCAGATCATCGGAATGGCATCAGGAAGCCAGCAGGTGATAATCTCTCCGCAGTGCTATTCCTATTACAGTTCTCCTTAAGCTGCTCGGAACGGCAGCCCACGCCAGTTGCAAGCAAAGGGCTTCTGTGTTCAGTGTGTACTGAGTCACAAGGAAATGTGCTATTGTGCATATATGTACATGTATCTTTTTGGCTGCTGTCGTGTTTGGCATGCCAGTGATGATAATTGGAGAGGAAACAGGAAAATAGCTGCAAAGTTGGTTTGCAACAGCTCAGCCACGAGCACAGGCCATGGAAGTGACTGCAGCGTCATCATTCCTGACCATAAAAGCTGCTCAGCCAGTCAATGCAGTCTAGGTTCATTCTCTTCTAGCTGCCCAGTCTGAGCTATTTTTAGCCTCCCTGTGCAGCGTGGCTCAACCGCCATCGTAGCTACCTGGATATGAGGGCTTTGTCACTCCTGCAGGCTGGAGCAGCACTGATCTCGCAAGCTTTCCAGCTTCCTACAGGCTAGGGCTGCAAAACAACTCCTGCAGTGAGAGGAATGAACAGAGACAGAGAGAGAGAAGAGGGAAGACAAACAGATAATAGTGATGTATGTTTCACAGTGTCTAAATGAAACAACAAAAGGCATCGCATTCTTGTATTAACTTATTCTCTGTGCTTGATGTGATGAGACAGAGACAGTATTCCACTGAGGAAAGCTAACACTTAACCGGTCACAGCAATGCAAGTTAAACAATTCAGGCAATTATTGATTAGCTGATTAAAATCTAATAGAAAAAAAGTGGGAGCAATCTCTCTTTTTACAAAAGTGCACTGTACATGGTGAAGTTGGGGTCACAAATAGTCACAAATTTGATGAGTTCAGATTTAATTTGACAAATTTAAAAAAAGGACTTGCCAGTTTTGGAAGAGAAAGTTATAGACATTTTTTCCAGTAGGACATAGGTTTAGGACTTGGGACATTGTCATTCTTGACCTGGCATTAGACTCTAAGACTTACTTGTGACCTGCAAAGCAATGACTTGGTCCCACCTCTGGTATACCATTTAACAAAAGACTAAGTGTATCCATTTTTTGTCACCGCACATGATTAAACACACCATTGCAACTAAAATTATACTTGAAAATTAAAGAGGGGACTTAAAAGAGCGTAGAAGGCGTACATGCCATTTGTTGTGATGGATTTCTTTTCGGCTAGTGCAATAGGCGACACTGAAAAAGTGCCTTTTCTTGTGTTTTACATGCATTGTTAGTCACAGACATTTTGTTAAGGTAGTCTTTCTCCTGCAGGTATACAAACCTGTGCCTATTAATTCAGCATAATATTATTCAGCATTCCCTGGCATGGTAAACAAATGCTCCAAACAGATTCATTTGAAATGACTGTGCTGCAATCCCATGGTGCATTAGGGCTGTTTAAATGCAGTGAGTGCTCTGAGACACTCACTCAGAGTCCCTCATAATAGTTTCTCCTTTCTTCTTGTCTCTCTTGAGCCCAGCAATGGTACCAGCTACACCACATCACATGTGTAACTTAAACTTTGTTCCATGTTGCATCATTCCTTGGTGGCGGCTGTACTGAGCTACATTCGGGGTTCTAGGCTTTTTTTTTCCCTTTATCCATTTTGTTTTTGAATTATGCAACAAACAGGCAATAGTAGTGAATGATGTAACACGGAAAACTAAACTACCCTTGCATAGCATCACAGTAATAGACTAAAACCCCTTTAAAATCTCTCAAGTTGCACACCAATCTTAGGCAGCCCTGCCAAAGATAACACATCCCAGTATCGCTCTGCTCTGTCTGTGGGCTGCTGTGGCAAAATTCTGTTTCTCAATGGGTGGTAATCTGAGGATTAATGACAGCAACACATCTGCCAGTCATGTGGCAGCACGACACAGATGGCGAGGGATGCACACAAGGGACACAGACAGGGAAACGATTGGCTCCAACATTCTGTCATTCGTCCACTACAACATGCTGTTGCAAAGCTCTAATGTTTTCAATCAAATAAATCCATATCCCTCAAGTACATGAGTGGCTCCCACTTTAGCAACCTCACCAGTGGGTGTTCTGTGAGAAGTTTCGGTCACTTCCTTGATGGAGTGTGAGTGTTTCTTACCAGGTATTTGGGGTAATTGGTCTTTTCAAGGCTCCTAAATTCAATATCTCTCTGTAGTATCTCTCAACATGTTGGTAACATTTTTCTCAAATTGAATTGGGGTTGGACAATATATTGATATTATATTGCTATTGGGATATAAGGCAAGATATTGTCTTCGACTTAGGAGATCATGACAATAGTGGTGGGCGATATGGCCCTAAAATAATGTCACGATATTTCAGGGTATTTTTGCGATAATAGTATTCTTGACAATATGAGACAAAAAATATTTTATTAGTAGTTTAAGAGCATAGAATTGCAGCAAAATAGGTGATATAGTTTTACATGTCAACCTAACAGTTTGCCTTCAAATATTCAGTGAAAACTAAACAAAAATGATCTCTCGTTCTTTAGTTTGTAAACAACAACATTAAATCAGATTGAGATTCAGATTCTGTATACAATATGAATAGTTCAACAAAATAAAATTACACATTTAACAGCTCCCAAATACAGAAAATGTACCATGGGATCTATATATATATATATATATATATATATATATATATATCAACAGGTGATTTCCTTCTTTTAGCAAAATCCTAAATGATTGAGTTGTTTTTTTTCCACCTGGACCTTTATGCTCTGACATTTCTCCTCTAGTTATCACGCTGTAACCTGTGACAGGCTGTTATGATACCACAACTATCGCACATATGTATCTATTTTTTTTTGTTGAGCTGCAAGCGTCACATAGGTTTACATTGCCAAAGGTTTATAACAAATTTTCTGTTGTATTTTTTTGCCTTTACCATATTTGCCCTTATTTTAAAGAATCTCATTGTGTAAATATTTTGTCAAAGCACCAATGGTCAACCCTACAATATAGTTGCAATGTTGATATTGAGGTATCTGGTCAAAAATATCATTATATATGATTTTCTCCATATCGCTCAGCCCTAAATTGAATAAGTTCACCAATTTCTTTGTCCTATAGAATACAGTATTAATATGACATGTATTCTAATCTTTAAATCTTCCTCCCTCCCATTTCCACTTCAATGTGTTGCATTAACTTACATCTGTTGTAAGGCTACCACCACCAATGGTCCCCACAACAATAGACACTGTGGCTGATGTAATAGGAGTCCCATTGGCGGTGCAGTAATAGCACATATCCAATATGGAGGCAGAGAAAAGATGATCCTAACAATGCCTCTGGCAGTGCCTCTGGCTACAGGGCCAACACACACGCGCACACACACACACAAGCGCACACTATCTGTGTTTTGCCTTCCTTAGAGGAGCAGAGGAGCAGGCACATGTGTCTCCCTGAATTACTCTTAAGAAGAGGCAGTGGGAGTGATTCTATTCTTGTAGGAGAAAACACAGTCAATTCTGATTTCATAAAACAACACTCTCAACTTGCTGTATATGTCTCATTGTGTTTATTTCTCTGTTTTGCTGCTTTTTCCTCGTTCACGTTTTCCCCTCATGTTTTTGACCAGGTGGAGGGCCCCCCGGCTGCAGGAGCTTTTCGGGAGCGCCCTTCCAAACCGACCACCTTTCGCAAGTTCTATGAGCGTGGAGAGTTCCCGATGGCACTGATGCATGACACCAAGGGCAACCGCATTGCATGGAAGGTAGGAGTGCTGCCCTCTGGTAAGACTTGACTAATATTTGTGGTTTTCACATGCCATTAACAGAAAAGGCTTGGGTGCTGAATTTGCCATCAGGGGATGTTGTATGTCAGAATAGGGATGGGGATATACTCTCAATAACACACAAAAATGACCCCATAGGAGCAATTGCAAAGCTATTGGGGTCTCATTAAAGCTTGCAAAGGAAATCAGGCAATGAAGAAAGTATTTTTCAGAAAGCACCCAAGACTTTTTTTTCCTTCTTTTTTTTGCATTTACACACATCTCTGAAATACAGAAGTCCTTGTACGCAAGGGACAGTTTGAATCCACCCTTCTGTCAAGCAGTTGTGGTGGTTGAATTTGAAGACTCGATAGGTGCTGTGCAAACACCATTTATCGTCATCATTATCAGCTTGGCTGAAGGTGATGATGACAGTTTTTCACTTATTTACAGGTCCAGTGTGAGCTGTTATCCTGTAGGAGGCAGTGTAGATTAGCTCACGTGAAGGCTCCGCCTGTCTTACAGCACCAATCACAGAATCCATCAATCACAAACTCCATACGAACTCAGGGCAGTCACAGCAAAGAAAAGGGAGTAATTGTATATGTATTTGTGTGTGTACCTTGTGTGTGTGTGTGTGTGTGTGTGTGTGTGTGTGTGTTTGAACACACAAACTTCCACAGAGCCATTAGACTTCTGACTGGCACAGTGTGTGTGGGATGGATGCATTCTTCTAATCACCATGTTGCTTTATTTCATCCCCCACTATGCTGCCAGCTATTCCATAACTTCACAACCGCTGCGCAGCAACCACACTTAATGACATTTATTCATAGTAAGCAACGATAAATGAATCAAACAAATTATACCCTATTTCTCCCCCTTTTTTCCGACTTCAAAGAGAGAAGGAAGGGTGGGTGGGTGAGTGAGCTTTCTCGCTAGTTAGCTGTCTGTCTTCAGGTGAAAACACTGTAAAAGCTCTCTTTGTATGAATTATTTATGTAAAATGTTCAAATGAATCTTTGCGTTTGCAAAAAATAATGGATTTCTTTTGTGCTCTGCCCATGAAAAAGCACTCAGCAAATGGGATGTGGTGTATGAAATTGTTGCTGTCATATCCAATGCAGCTGTTAGGCTTATTGATTTTCCTCCAATACTTATACACATGCTAGTCATTTTTGAAATCCTCCTCAACAGAAGAGTTTATTACTCAGGTCCATTCAGATTTCTTGGGTTTGCACTTTGACTGTGAACAAGTGTCTTTGGAATATTTCTTATGACGCTGCTGCTGTTTTAGTGGAGGAGACACATTTTTTTCCCTTCAAATCTGTCTTTATCAGCCTTCGGTTTGTTTAAAGCAGTTCAGGTAGAGGTGGCACTTGCTGTGTGCATCTGTTCTGTGGGTTTATATGCGGGTGTAGTGTAACAGTGAGTGTAACCATGATCGGAGTAAGTGGAGAGGGGCTGCGGCGTGTTTGCACTGAGCTGCCCTCGGGGCACAGGTTCAAGACGGCGGCTCCGGATCAATCCCAGTCTGAGAGCTCAGCCCCCTAGCAAATAAAAAAGTCTGGGGAAAGTAAGAAAGAGAGAGAGAGTCTTTCGGAAAGAAAAATAAATGGTGTGTTGATTTAGTCTGTGGGCTGAGTACTCAAGCATTGAGTGTACATGCTTGTGTGTTTATGTGTGCTTTATTTGTGTGTCAGTGTGACTGTCTGTATTGATGAGTCTGTGTGTGTTTAGGTCAAGAGTTCAGCTGACCCCCTACAATGATGCTGTCTGTACATGTTTGCCTCTGAGCAGCAGCAAACAGTCAATGCAGCCATGAGATACACAGACACAGGCCTGATTGAATGTCCTCTGTTGCACCTGCACCCATAGTGCAAGAGCACTGAACACACCCTGAGTACACTTAGACCATTGGAGGGGAAAACATTAAATTGTGGTAAGGGTGCTCTTGGAAAGATTTTTATTTGATCCTTATTCATTTATTTGCACAATAAAGCAAAACAGTAGTTATATAGTGACACAAGGAGAAGCAAGTTTTGCAGGTGAGATTCAGAAAACCCCCAGAGGCTTACAGAAGGAATTTCACCTCTGTGAGCATTATAAACAAAGTGACTGCTTTGATTGCTAGATGACAGAGTGCAGACCCTAGCTTGCACGGTTTAATGCCATAGAAATGAAATGAGAGTAGAATGGACATTCTCATTTAAATCAACATAGCAGGATGGTCAGAGAACTGGCCATTTATATGTGTATTGTCCATTGCGGTCATTGTAGCAGGCTGACTTTCATATAAACTGCAGAATAAACCAACTTGTTGCAAGTCGCTTATTCAAGTTGAGGTCTGCTGTAATGACTAAACACTTTAACTATGGGATTTATTTCTTCCAAATTGGATGACTAACAGGACTAAAGCCTGATTTATTCTTGGCCATGCAACACTTTTGATGAGTGTCACGCAACAGAAATGACATATCTTCGACAGAAAAAAATCACGCTTCACATTTTTCTTTCATGTCGTCATTTTTTGTTGCGCAGTGTGATTGTCAGTGTTAGTATCATCGCCACGGAGAAAGTAGTTTTAAATCCACACCGACTCTGACATACATTTAGCATCTCTCTCCACAGAAGCAGATGTCCGTTAGCAGCTACTGTGGAGCCACCTTCACCAGGCTGACTGACAGCAGACATTTAGTAAACAAATATTGCTTTCATGTCAGTGCCACGCGAAGAAATCAACAGTGTTTGTATTTATTGATTCATTGATTTCATCTACCAGCCCATCGTAGAGAGTATGGGGAATCTACCACTCACAGACAGACTGGGGGCTAATAAATCAATCAATATATGGTTAATAAATTAAAAACACATATACAGTGGGATATTTGTGTGGTTTTAAACAGCTGTCTGTGCAGATTATGCTTCATTTACTGCGACAGAAACAGACACAGACCGTGAATGTAAGCAGGCTCTCTGGTGATATGGAGACGACTGGAACCTCTTGCCAAAGCATAAATGAAAGAAGGTTGCACTGCTCTTCAGTTTCTGTTGTGCAACACTTCCAAGAGTGTCCCGCGCCAACCATAATTTGTTTTAATGTAGACAGTTTTGGTGAGTTACATTTGTTTCTGTCAAATTTGAATGAAGTGTGTTTTATGATGCATTAACAAGGCTGTCAAGGCAATGTTAGTCTAAATTTGGTAAAAAAGAGAAACTTAAATTGATGTGCGGTTGCATTTTCTGTTTAATAAGGAAAATAAGGGTAAGAGAAATCCTAAACAAAGTTCTCAAACTCATGAGTGCGGCACACTTGAAGGCGCCACTGACCTGTGTTTTCACCATAACAACTAAAAATAATCGCCATTTTCTTTTGTTCTAGTCAAATGGCAACAGCAAACAGTTCACTGTCTTCTCTACTCATTTTATTTCTATTTTTGATAAAATATATGGGCCTGTAAAATACTGAATTTGATGGTAAACACTTGCCAACTTATCTACAAAACTGGCAGGTATGCATTCTTGAGTATCCAAATCCTCTTTATTACCACCTGTGAAACGCAAGGCCAACATGATTCACTTGCCCTTTAGTTTTAGTTGGTCCCACTAACTCCTGAAAAATACATCTTGCTCTCTTTTGTTCCCTAAATGCTTTCTGTAAGAGCCACTCAATAAATAAAGCTCCCCACCATTTCACACTGGGCAGGCAGTGTAGAATTGGCCTGTGTGAGCAGCCTTGCGTATATCTTGCATATGACTGCAGTGTGTGCTGTTGACTCTCAGTGGGATCAGCTGATACCAACCATTTCATTTAACAAAGAGTAATTTAAATCAATGTTAATATCAAAGTTATTGCATTGTGGGGTTTTGATAAAGAACATGATTAATTGTGGAAACAGAAAACATCAATTTTTAATTATGTACAATTATTTGTGCAGCCCTAACCATATGTTACGGTTTGAAAACATCCTGTGTTTGGACACAGGGTTGGTGGAGCAGTCTCCTTATATTTGTTTTATTTTAGTGGGAAATAAGTAGAGAGCTGGAGCTGGGTTTATTGGATGAATATTTCCCTATTGATAGAACCAGTCCCTTACTTAATAAAACAAATGAAAAGCGAGCCTTACCTGTTATTGCCAAGTGCGAAATGCTTGCAGCTTTGAAGAGCACGGTCAGCTCTGTGGTTACAGTATGATCCTGCCAAAGCTGTGTGCTCTATCCTGCAAACATACAGTATTTGTTGAGCGTAGAAATTGCTGTAGAGGAAGAAGAAGGATGTGTAGAACATGTGTGAGGTCTAAATGACAGAGAATTAAGAGCCTGGGGACTTGCAACTTTGTGTATCTGCGTGTGTGTCTGTCCGCCTGCTTGCCTGCTGCTGTATGTGTGGCTTTTATAGCGCGCGTTTGAGTCTATATGTACGGGGGGGAATGCAAGTGAACTAAATGTCAAGGGCAAGTTGAAAAAGGGAAGGTTGTATCTGAAAGGTAATTTGGCTCTCCAGAGGTAAAAGCCTCAGCTGTAATGGCGCGCTCAGGTAAAAGCTTTACACGTATGGGGAACATGTGCGGCAGATAGATAAGAGAGAGATGAGCGAGTTCCTGTCTACGTGTATTTGTGTTTCTGTGTGTTTGTGTGCTTGCGAGTGTGCGTGTGTGTGCATGAGTACGTGTATGTTTGTGCGTGTATTTGGCCCAAGCCATAACATAGAAGCCAAAGGCCTGGAACAGCACCGTAATCTACTGCCATCCCCAGTGCCAAAAAGAGGGAGATAGAGAGGGGAGACAGAAAGAGGGAGGAGAGATAGAAAAACATAGGGGAGACAGAAATAGGGAGGAGAGATAGAGAGAAAGGGGGAGACAGAGAGAGAGAGAGAAAGGGGGGAGGGAGACAGCTCCACAGGGACTCAGCAATCAGGAGACATGGCAGCCGCTTGGCTCTCAGTTATAATAGATGAGTTGAGGTCTTCCTGCATTCCCTGTGGGGCCTGGTTCGACTAT